CCTTCTTTCTTTGCGTGAACATTTGGGCGCATTATGCAAATATTCTCACATAGTGAGGTAGATATGTGGGGGCGTGTTAGAACAAGCTGTTTTAGGGGGGCGTGGCAGAGTCTTAACTTTGATAAAGAATATCTCTTTGGTTTTGAGACTTTGGTCTTTGCAACTTCAGGGATCTTATCTATGCACAATCAGCTTGTAACACTCCAAAGAGAAAGGAAAACTTGAAGTCGCATCATATGACCCCTTTAACTTTAGGTTAATTTCAATTAATAAGTCATAAAGACCTTTAAATCACAGTTGGTGCTAAACATCTGCACACAGTGTTACATAGTGCAGACACAGTCAGAGTGGTATGGTAGTGTGCTCTTCAGTTCATACCCAATGAATTCTGTTTTTTTATATATATATGCAGCACGCAGTATATACTGCGCAATATGAAGTGCGCAAGAATTCCATTTCGAACACAGCCAATATCCAGCCGGCGGTGACGTCATGGCCGCAAACATTCCTAAAGAATGAATTTATCTGAAAACACGTCCAGCTTTAGCTCCAACTCTCTCATAAAATACCCGAAGTTATTTGTGTTAACAAATCACGATGCTTCGCATGACTGACGTAACGGCAAAACATCTCTACGTGTTGATTATGAGAAAAGGAATCCGAATTGATCAGAGTTCCAGTCAGTGCGTTCATGTCGACGGCTCGTGAAGCTCGTGAAGCTCGTGAAGCCGCAGACGGAGGAATCTCAACACTCACCCCGAGCAGACACACTTTCAGTTCCCTGATGGCCATTATAAAGCACGTCAAGGCAGCTGAAGCATTATTCTAACAGTCCCCGGTCTTGTTCGGTCGACTCTCGTCCATCACGGTCCCAGCGGACAGCTCATCTGTAAAACACACACTCTGACCAGCTCTTTCTCAAAGCTAACGGAACCGACTGAGCTGTCACTCACATCACGTGATGACATAAACCACGCCTCAAAGAGAGAGATTGTGCAAATAATAATAGAACTACAACACCAATTCTAATTCCAGTAATAATGATAAAATTGAGTGAGCCGAATAAATGTAACCCATTATTATTATTATTTGCATATGGTTCATTTTTCTTCTAATCGTTCAATTAAGTAAAAATACAAATATGTATAGAATAAAATAAAAAATATAAAGCATTTTGTAATGTATTTATAATTTATTCATGAGCTATGCAATAAACCATAACGTTAAACAAATAGATATAAAAGACAAAAGCAAGGAATTAAAGTTCTGAGTGAAAATTGAATCATAAACAGGCAAGAGAATTAGTGTGTATGTATATATCTGTACTACTAGTACATATACTAACTTGATATATATACACACAATTTTAACTATGTTTTCTTGCATAGTATATGTAAATACATAAATACATATAAGTATCGCTTTTCATTTCTCCTCTTTCCACTTCGGTTTCAGTTTTTTATAACCATTTTTTACTATGTGTCAGTAAGTTGTTATTATTTTAGCATGTCGTACCCACTGTATATATATATATATATATATATATATATAGATACACACACATAGTATATATAGATACACACAGTATATATAGATACACAGAGTATATATATATATATATACACACAGTATATATATATATATATATATATATGCGTGTGTGTGCGCGTGTATTTTTTTGTATTTGTATACTTCTATATTTTAGATTTTATATATATTTGATTTTACAATGAGGACAACCTTTAGTAATTAATATGTAAAATGCTTTAATAATAAACATTGAATAAACATTTACTTTAATATTTTACTGCACTTATATTCATTCCCATCATCAATAAAACAAGAAAATGAATGCTGTGTAGATGCTTTTAGATTTCAAGCTCTGGACTTTGTATCCAGTGGTTTTCTCTGCCTGGTAACTTCTTGTGTTAAGTTAGACCACATACCTCCGTCTGTCCATAACTGTGTTAACACTGATCACAGCAGTCACTGAGGGCATCCAGCATGATCATCGCAGGATCCTTCATATTCTTTATTGCAATGAAAAATCCTCAAACTTGAATTAAGTCCAACCTATCATTTTATTTTAGATGGCAGCATTCTGTTCGCAATGATCATGAGCTACAAAAGCTTTGTTTATAATATGAAAAACTATCATTTCCAAAAGTAGATGAGCGGGTATGTATCTCTTTGAGATAAGTTCTAACTGAGAGACATTAAGAAAAAAAAAGTTTTTTTTTTTTTTTTACATAGGATATAGTTGACAATCAGTCTGTCAATAGCTTTGATTAGAATTATACAGTACTTCTGAAATGTAACTTGCTTGACAGCATGACAAGAAAGAAAGTGAGAAAACAAACCAAAAGCAGAATGAGGCTGGAAATGTGCTACATCTGAAAGAGATTAATAATATACAATAATCCAGTAGTACACTAGCATTCAACAAGCACTTTAGACAAAAATAATAATCACAAAATAAAGTGAAACTGACAGAATATTGGTAGTAAAAAAGGAAAGATTGGTGACAATCTAGTGCAAGTTTCTAAAATGACTATGGATCAGTGTGTCAGAACATCTGTAACAACTGTGCCAAAACTTCAGGACCAGTTGGGTGGATCTCAAAAAAACTGAATGCTCATATTTCACCCCAAATCAACAGAAAATATGATATTTTGCATAAAGAAAATGAGCTTTTCTTTCAAATTATAAGCATCATTTTATTTATGCAACATATTTTTTTCTCTGATTCTGATCACCTACACTTATTAAAACCACCCGTAATAACCCCTCAAACTTCATCAGTGATCAAAAGTATTCTTGTGCTTCACAAAATTTGTTTTAAAAAACATAACATGGCATTACGTGAATGTACGGAAACTGATCAAAATTAGACCAATTCTACACAAACTGCAATCAACTCATTCTCATTCTATAAGTGCAGATCTGCACGTTTTAGTGCAGTTACAGATTAGATGTTTATATATATTGATTATTAAATCTTGTCATTTATAATAAATGTTCAAAACCGTCTCCTTTGAATATCTTAATAGGTAAAAATACAATCTAGCTGTATTACAATGTCCCAGAGCATCTTCAAAGTAACTCCTCTGTGCACCTACACACAGTCATCTATGGCACAGTGGTTTCAGAAACACACAACTTCATTTTCACTCGGTTTGAGCTCGGTTCTAGACCTGGACCCACAACAGGAGCGCTGGCAGCCCACTATGATTTCTCATCACCTTATTTCTGCATTGGCAATAGACGTCCAGGATATTTCTCAAAGTAATTTCTCCTTTGGGATTTAATTATGAGCTGAACTGCATAAATAAAATGCATTTGTTAATAATAACCAATAAAGTAAATCTGCTTGTCTGAAATGATTTTGCACTGAATGTAACGTGAGCACGGAAGATACGGATGTTCGTCACCTGTGGTTTGGAGTTTTCACACAGGTTGCAGTTAAGTGTTGTGTCATAACATCCTATTAGAGCTCAGTATTTAATGGCTTAGTTTCTTGAAATGCTTGGAAGTATTTAGGTGAATCTTAAGAAAACATGTCACATTTCTATGGAAGCCTGTTTACGCCATGGAATAAATAAAGGTAAATGCAACATTTTATCTTGAAACTTGAGTTTATATCTCATAATTCTGACTTTATTCCCCTCAGAATTACGAGATAAACTAGCAACTGAAAGAAAAAGTCTGAATCGTGAGATTAAAAAGTCACAATTACCTTTTTTTATTTTATTCTGTGGTGGGGAGAAAAAAAAACAGAATTGCAAAATGTAAACTCAAAATTTGGAGAAAAAATTCTATTGCAAGAAAAGTCCGAATTGTTAGACGTAAACTCAGAAAAGTCTGAATTCTGAATTTATAGCTCACAATTGCAAATTGTGAGATTAAAAGTTTCAATCACATTTTTTTTTATTCCGTGGAAACGGGCTTTTGTATATTTGAACCCAAAATCAAAAGAAAAAATGTTTGCATTAAGAAAAAAATATATATATTTTTTTGCATTGTGACATTAATTTAATGACTATTAAGAACAATTTGCACTTAAAATTCTATAATTAAATATTTTTCAATTTAAATCGGCGTAAATGCAGTACAACAAATAATAGCATTATATATACTTTATCACGTAAATAATATATCAATATTTTTCTATATTTCCACATTTCCGTCATGAGAATGACATTTTATTCGAATTACGGTAATGAGAATTATGTGGGAAGTGCTTAATAGTAATGTAAATAATGTTAGAATGCAAAAGAATTTAAAATAATAGCCTTAAAAAAAGGCTTGATTTTCTTAATGAATAATATAATATAATATAATATAATACATTTCCTATTTTCTTCTTTTGATTTTGGAGTAATAATTGACCTGGACAGATGAGATTCACGGTTTGATTTTGTTTTTGTACAAACTTGGGATTTTTAAACACAAACCCCTAATACTCTTAACTATTTAGAAAAAAAGAGAATTAGCCTATCTGTTTAGACAGGGGTCAAAGGGCAGATCGAATCTGAGCACACAAAGATCTGATTGTGCTGCTGCAATTTCACATACAAACTTAAACCAATCGAAATAATCCAATTTCATTCTATTGTGATGATGACCAATCAGGAATGTTTCCCATACTCACCTCTCTTTAGACCTATTGACCTACAAATCACAGATCGTGTCCGATCACATCTCGCCTCTGTCCTCTGCTGTCCAGTTTTCTCCCAGTGTAAAGAACATCTCACTTCACCTTGCTGACCCTTGACCCAAGATGTCACAGTTATGTGATGAGCAAACACAAGCGCAGATGTAGTGATGGTCAGATGGTTTACAGGTTGGCCTCCCTCTTGTCTTTGCTGGGCGATGGCTTCATGGCATCTTTTCCAGGCTTCCCATTGGCTGGGGCGGCAGCGGTTGCGGCAGTGGATTCCATGGCGACCGCTGTGGCACGTTTGATTGGCTCGTCCGCTCTAGATCGCTCTTCTGGGCTGGGCTGGGAGGGCGGGGCCTGTTCAGAAGTGGACGGGGCTGTGAGCTCCTGCTGTAGCTTGTGAGTCTGAAGGAGGCGGAGCTGAACACGCAGTTCCAATATGGCCTCCTGTTCTTCATGGATGGCCTGATTCAGATGAGTGTTTTTATTCTGCAGAGAAAGAAACGAAACGAAGACGAGGATGAGATACAGTAGATGCATATAATTCAATTTAGGTCTAGTTTGGGCCAAATGCTAAGCAGCAAATAATTAATTAAGTAATTAGTCATTAATGGATCTGCTGTGCACATTAAAACTGGCAGAACCGACTTTTCTTTTCTATTGTGATGTACAGTATATCTGAATGAATCTATATACTTCTTGATTAAGAAAAAAAAATGAAGGACGGCACTTGAATTTGTCCATCAGAAACTGATTGGACAAAAACTTTTCCATTACTTGAAATTAAATAAATGCTCACTAAAATAAAATATAACAATTTTAACTAGTAGCCAAGTCAACATTTCTCATTTTAATTTAGTTTAACTTCATGTACTAAAATAACTCAACTTAAAACATATAAAATATATAGACATATGAAAAAAAAATAATAATAATGAAAATGACACACACACAAATGATAAAAAAAAAAAAGAACTAAAATTTACATTTAAATATAAACAACTTAAAATATTAATGAAAACTATAATATTAAAATAACACTGGTAAGTCGACTATTTTTCAGCAGTTTTAAACATGGTTAATCCAATTAGATTTTAGAGCCAGGATTACTTATTTTATAAACCTGCAAATGTTTTTCTTGGGACAAATTTAGTAATAATAATAATAATAATTTCTAATGTAGTTCACTCAATTAAACTTAATGCAACAAAACAAGCACACATAGGAAAGCTTGACAAAGTTAGCAACAGTAACTAAAGAGAACAGGGCTCAACACATAGTCAATTAAATTT